CTAACCTAACTCCATCTGCCCGCCTTATTCGCATATCCCTTAATCCCTCTATCCTTTGGAAATCTATCTATCTCAGTCTTGAATATGTTCAAGGACTGAACATCTTCAGCCTTCTGGGGTAGAGAATTCCATAAATTCACTACCCTGATTGAAGAAGTGTTTCCTCAACTCTGTTCGAAAAGGCTGACCCTTAATCTTAAGACTGACCCGTACTTATAGATTCTCCTATCAGGGGAAACAGCCTCACACTGTCTACTCTGTCAAGCCCCATAAGAATCTTATATGTTTCTATAAGATCACCCCTAATTCTTCTATATTCTATAGCTTACTCAACCTATCCTCATAGGTCAGTCCCCTCATCCCAGGAACTAACCTAGTGAATTTACGCTGCACCCCCTCTAAGGCGAGTAAGTCCTTTCTTAAATGATACCAAAACTGCACACAATATTCTAGGTGTGGTCTCACCAAGGCCCTATGCAGTTGCAGCAAGACTTCCCTACTCTTGCATTCCAACCCTTTTGCAATAAACGCCAACGTGCCATTAGCTTTCCTAGTTGCTTGCTATACCTGCATACTAACTTTTTGTGACTGGTGTACAAGGACACCCAAATCCCTCTGAACACAAACACTGTCTAGTCTCTCCCCCTCTAGAAAATAATCTGCTTTTCTGTTTTTACTACCTATGAAGGTGAATAACTTCCCACTTCCCCATATTATATTCCATCTGACACCTTCTTGCCCACTCAACTGGCCTATCTACATCCCTTTGCAATCTTTTTGTGTCATCCTTAGAGCTTACTCTCCCACCTAGCTTAGTATCATCCGCGAATTTAGATAGTTTAAGTTCTATGTCCTCGTCTAGATCATTGATAAAGATTGTAAATAGTTGAGGCCCAAGCACTGATCTTTGTGGCACTCCACTAGTCACATCTTGCTAATCTGAGAAGGACCCGTTTATCCCTACTATCTGTTTTCTTCCCTGTTAGCCACTCTTTGATCCATGCTAATATATTGCCTTTAATTCCATGGGCCCTAATCTTGTGTAGCAGCCTTTTATGTGGCACCTTGTTGAATGTGTTCTGAAAATCTAAATATACAACACTAACTGGTTCCCCCCTATCTAACCTGCTAGTTACATCCTCAAAAAACTCTAAAAGATTTGTTAAGCATGATTTCCCTTTTGTAAAGCCATGTTGACTTTGCCTAATCATGTTATGATCTTCTAAGTATCCCACCACGACGTCCCTAATTAAGAATTCTAGAATTTTCCCTACCACCGATGTCAGACTAATTGGTCTATAGGTCCCCATCTTCTCTCTCCCACCCTTCTTAAATAGTGGTGTTACGTTTGCGATCTTCCAGAATCCAGAGAATTTTGGAAGATCAAAAACAAGGCATCCACTATCTCAGCAGCCGCCTTTTAAAACCTTAGGATGCAGGCCATCAGGTCCAGGGGATTTGTCATTTTTCAATCCCAACAGTTTCCCTAGTACTAATTCTTTACTGATGTTAATTTCCCTAAGTTGCTCACTAACATTAGCTTCTTGGTTCACCTCTATTTTTGGTAAGTTTTCAGTGTCTTCTAACGTGAAGACAGAAGCAAAGTATTTCTTTAATGACTCTGCCATATCCTTATCCCCCATTATAATTCCTCCTATCTCTGCCTGTAATGGACCCACATTCACTTTTGATAAGTCTCTTCCTCTTAATTTGTCTATCTCATTACGAATGCTTCGTGCATTCAGATATAGCTCCTTTAATTTTGACTTCTTGCTATTTCCCCAACTCACTAATGCCCTATTTTCTTTTCTGAGCTTCTTGTCCCTCCTTGACACTTTGTTTATCTTCCTCGCTAATCTGCTCTACTACCTTCATCGTGCTTAGATTTGCTGGTTAACTTCTAACTGTAAACTTTCTTCCCCACACCCCCCTTAGTAGTTTAAAGCTCTGCCTACCTCCCTATTTATTCATTTTGCTAGGACATAGGTCCCAGCTCAGTTTAGGTGGAGCCCAACTCAATGAAACAGCTCCCTTTTCCCCCCAATACTGGTGCCAGTGGCCCATAAAATGAAACCCCTGCCCTCCCCACCACTCCATAAGTAGGATGTATCCCTACTCCCAGCGTCCCAGCAACATCTGTCACTTAAGAGTGCTGCCAATGATCCAAGGTGACTAGCTGGTTATCAGCAATGTGTAATTGGGAGACCCACCTGCTCAGGAAATGGGACGACCACACAGGCTTGACTCGATTCTGACATTCACATTACATCACCTAGGAGCTAGGTCAGCCCCAAGGAGACACAATTTATGTCTACCCCACGGAGGAGTCACCGGTTGGTCATTTGACATCTAACAAATGCAGATTTGAGCTCTGAGTTAGAGGATAGAAGAAACCAGGAAATCCCCTATGAGCTTCCTGGGGAGCAGCAAAGTTCAGCATGCAAGCATTGCCCATCGTGATATGAGAATACTGTTTTTTTAAAAAAAGTACACAAAAGCATACCAAGGGCTACTTTCTCTGGACTATTTGATCTGAGTTCAGTTTTAACCAGGATGACTTTGTTGTATTCCACTGAAGTGAAATGTCTCACAGCAGCTTTGTAATTTTGATGTTGCAAAGTACCTTCTTACAGCAATCACAGTAAAAACTTGTGAAGCACTTTGAGACGAATTGACAATGTGACAAGTTGCTTGGCCAACATTTTTATTTTAAAATTCCACAGCAATGACATTTGCAGACCCGACCACAATACTTCCTCCCTCACCATGGACAAACTCTGATGCTGTACAAAAACAAACTATAATTTCCTAATTTTTGCAATAGCACCTGCATTTGATAGAACACCTTATCACATCATCGAGACGTCTCAAAGTACTTCATAGTATATATCTACCCTGCATGCCCTCCACCACTCCTGATCCCAACCCCCAGTGCAGGTGCAAATCCTTGACTATTCCACGCCTTGGGACGTCCTCTCGAAGCTATAATAAATGTAATTTGTTATTGTTGTCCTCCTGACATGAAAGACCCTGTTCAATTGCAAATTGTTGCTGTTGTTGGATTGAATGTACTTTGTGGGCAAACGTGGCAGCCAGTTGTACGCAGCAATGTTTCACAAACAGCCATGGAGTGAATGAACAATTTTATTTGGAGGATTGTTAGTCAAAGGAGAAACTTACTTTTCTTTTCAATTTGTGCCACAGGATCTTTAACGTCCATCTGAAGAGCCAGATAGGACTCTGGTTTAACATCGAAGGACGGTACCTCAAACACACTCTCAGCACTGGATCCCAATCCAGTATTCTCATTGCATTGGGATCACTTGGGACTACATGATCCCAAGTCCCAAAGGGAGGCCTGAATTCACAACCTTCTGACTCAAGATGGGAGTGCTACCACTGAGCCAGAATGACATTCAATGCATCAGGCTGGCACAGTGATAGCACCTTTGCCTCGGTTCTGCGTGAGAAAATCTCTTCCTGGGGTAAGCTACGTCAGTTTCATAATAAGTGTCCAGCAGAATAATTAAAGCCATATAAACAAATATGAAGGGGAAAAGAACAGTAAACTTTGTATAAATGTTAAGAGAAAAAATGTCAAATATGCAATATTTGCATTGGAGATTTTTAATTTATACATCTAAAGAAATTTATGTGCACATTTGCTTAACTGAACAAACAGTTGTTTGCGAACTTCAGAAATAATCACCTATATTTATTTTCTTTTGTATTATCTATTTATGTTTTATTATTCTCTGCAAAAATTGTCAATATGAAACTTTTGACATTAATGAGATTTCAGCGAATGGAATGTTATAAGCTTTTTGTTACCCTCAGATTTTTTAGCATCCCACCATCACTGTAGATTATCTGCATAAATAAAAGCTACCACCTGAACATGCGTTATCAATGTAAATACAGAATATTTAGCCTGATTTTTCACAAAATGTTTAGTTAGCAATAGTGTTGGGTCATCACATCCAAAAACGTAATGGTCATTCCTGAGAAGCATCAAGCTAGATAATAAGTCATAGATAGTAAGACCAGGAATCTACGATAACCCAGAACAAATTTAACACTTTGCCTTTTAAAACAAAATTATAGAATACTTTATAGAATATTTCTCATGAAACACTCATGCTCCATCACAGAGTGTGCTTTTCAATCTAAAAGGAAAAAAAACATTACAAGTTGAATCTAAATCTGGCACTATTTTCATCTTAAAGGACTCAAGTAAAACAACAACTTGCATTTATATAGCACCCTTCATGTTGGGCAGCGTCTCAGAGGACTTAATAGTGGCAGAGCCTGACACCAAGCCTGGGAAAGGGAGGAGGTGACCATAAGCACAGTCAAAGTGGAAGGTCTTCAGTTGTGATTTAAAAGAGGGGAAGGAGGGGACAAGGTGGAGGGATTAGGGGAAAGTTTCAAAGCTTCGGGCATAGTGGCTGAAAGCTCGGCTGCCGACAGTGAAGCCAAGGACATAAGGGACTATCAGGAGGCCAGAGCCAGAAGAGTGGAGGCAGCGGGTAGTGGAGTGGATAAAGATAAGGTCAGAAAGATAGGGAGGTGCCAAGTCATGAAGGGATTAGTGGATGAGTGAGTATTTTGAAACCAATCCGTTCTGTGAATTCTGGGAGGCAGTGGAGCCTGAAGAGGACTGATGTGATGGGGGTATGGAGTTTAGTGAAGGTGAGAATACAAGCAGTGGAGTTCTGAAGGGGTTGCAGTTTGTGGGTAGTGGAGCTGGAGATACCGGAGAGGGCATTGAAGTAGTCAAGAAATCAGTCAAACTACAGACACATATCTGCAGTTTATTTTACAAATGTTCATTACTAATATTTTTTGTATAACAGCCAGAGAACACCTAAAAAATCTAAGCAAAAGGCACCCACTTTAAATGAACATTTACAGAATTGTAAGCTCATGTCTAAGTTACCTTTAAAATGCTTCAAATAAATTGTTAGCAGGTTGTATTGCATTAAATATATATATATCTACAGAATCAATCTCATTTATTAGAACCCCAAAACACAAGTTAAGAAAATTGCACACCTTAAAAGGTACAATGATCTTAAAGAACAATGTTTTAACATTTAGAATTTTCTTCAATTTGTTCCAAAAATCCAATATGTATTGGACATAAATACATATCATTGGTCATTAGTCATTTTCTCGCAAAGCTTTGGCACAGAGCATTTAGCACTGTTCCACTACCATCCATTCTGTGAAACCTGTCAAAGAAGTTCTCTTTAGAGTCTTTTTTCACAGAAGAGGTTAAAAATACGAATTATGTACCATTGTAGATTTTTTCTAGTGTTTAAATCATACAGCTATATTTTTAGTCTCCAGAATAACCATGGGAAGTCTGGGGGAGGGTAGAGAAGAGGGAAGAAACATTTTCTTCAGCCACTGAGCCTATCCTATGTTCCAACCATGGTTTCCTTAGTTGAGTCTGCAGAAGTTCTTGAAAAGAGTCCGCAAAACGAGTAAGAATATCAGTCCCAGATCCCTTTAAACTCAGACACCGGTATACAATGACAAAAAGTAAATGTACAAAAGAAATATTGGATATATCAGAAGAGGCTTCTTTGTTTTGAACTCTTCTCCAACCAGCAGCGAAGCAGCACTATATGCAGCCCAGAACACACCGAACAGCTATATTAAAAAAATAAGATTCATCAGTAGTCCTTATTAAAATCTTAACTAATGGACTCAGAAATCATGTTGGTGCAGCGCCTTTGAACTCAAAGTGCTATATCGCAGAGTAACAGAATGTGAATTTGAACTCTATTCCACAGTGAGCTTTTGGTTTCATTCAGGGAAGTGGGGGGGGGGAGAAACACCATGTAGCTTGATACGTCCCCTGAGAAACCAAGCAAAGGAATTCTGAAAACAAATCATCCTAATTTCCTAATTACTATGAATATTTCCTGAAGGCATTACATCAATTGATTATATATGTTACATCAAGGATTATTATTATTATTATTATATCAAGTGGGTATAGCGTGACAGTACAAGCGGCCTAAGAGCAGACCACCTACTGGTCTTTTAAGGGCCATGTTGTACGCCTAGGGAGATCCCTAAAAATGTGTTTTAAGCAAAAAATAACCTTCACTAAACAGAAACTCAAAAACAATTTAGACCCTATTTTAGACACACATTTTGGTATACACATTACGCATAAATTCTAAACTACCTATACCTAGAGAAATGTAAACTTATATGAATACTCACCTTTATAACTGTAGACAATAGCTCAAATGATCCAACAACCAAAAGGACTGGAACAATTACAATTAAAGGGAGTAATGAATACCCGATCACACCAAGAACCTGACCGTATGCAACCTGTAAAGTATAGTTGAGACACAATTAGATTTTTATATCACTAAATGTCCAGATGCACTGATACTACACATACTTAAAATCAGAAACTTTAGTGACCACCAAACACTGACCTCACCACCAAGTACACGGGCCAATAAGAAGATTGTCAGCGATCCAAATATCCAAATTGTTATAATCCATGAAACAACCTGCTCAAAAGACATTATTCAATTATACAATTTCAAAATAAAATATTTTGATTTAGAAACAGTTGCACAGGTTAATTTGATTTCACAAATAATAACCCTAACAAAAAAATGACCTTCCAAAAATAAGTTTCTAATACAGAAAACAATCAAAACTAAACGCAAAGGATCATGGACCTGAAACATTGACTCACTTTCCTTTCTCCATAGATGCTGCTGAGTGTTCCCAGCGACTTCTGTTTTTGAATCAAAACTAATTTGTTCATAATTGTGGCACATTAAACTACTGTAGTATTAGCAGAGATTCTTCCTTCCACTTTCACGGTGCAGCTACGAGTGCACAACCAACACAATTAAACTCAATTATAGATGTCCAGCCAACTTGTTTTCCCCTCCCAATAAAATACCATATTTTATGCCATCTAAAGCAGTGTAAGTTGCAAATAGTTCCCAACTTATTTCAATCACAGAATATATAGCATTGCAAAATAAGTATTGCATTTGATATAGCATCTTTTCACATCATAAAAATGCCTCAAAGTGCTTCACAGGTTTCACTAAAAACTGTAGAGCTGTATTTGTGCTGTGTTTAAGGAACTTTGACAGATTCCACAGTTATCTTATCTCTGACTTCACTCTATTATCTCTAAATATACACCAAGCATCAGAGGCTCAGAATGTTCTCCTGGTCTAAGTCTTAAATCCATTGTCGTAAATTTTAAGATTATGCTGAATTTTCAAAAATTCCTAAAATTAGTCTTCATTTGAAATTTTCTTTTGCAGTTATTTGCAGGGCTAAGATCAGGAGGATTTCAGGCCTCTGATTGAAGCCTCTCAATAATACACTGTTCTGTGTAGTCCAGTGTCAGCACTTTCTACTATCACATGGAAAAAAAAACCTCATAACACAATGTTGAAATTAATACACACTATGCTCTATATCTAATACACTTACTCGAAATTGTCCATATAAAGAGATCATTGAAAAGAACAGAACCACAGCCAGTGGCCCCCAGAAGTCTGGATTGTCTCTCACCACCTGCCTATTAAACCCCAGTGATGGCATTGGCATCAACACGCAGCGGATTTTGTAGTAAATGTCCTTCAGATCTATGTCCAACTCTTCTCTACACAAACAAAGAAAATATTTTCATTATATGATACAGAAATGTTTCACGTATGAAACGTCATGTTGAACATATGAAATCATAAATAATTTGAAGCAAATTGGTTTGCAAATATTTGTTTCTAAAGTCCTTTATGTATTCATTTAATGTGTGTAGATCAGATGGTGTGGCAATGTGCAATTCATAGAAATACATTACAATTCAACAATTTTAAAGGAGGGGTTTGTGCATTTTAAGGGTCGGCTAATCCTGGAGACAAGTGGAAAGATGCAAGAGGGCTAACAATGATGCCAATGCTCGAGTAGACATACTACAAAGGGAACCGCCTCGTTCTTTATCAATCGATGTAAACACACAAAAACCCTGGGAGCAGAGGTGTAAACTGAGGATTTACTCATGCAATTACAATCCATTCAATAATGAATGGGTAATAATGATAATCCTTGCATTTGATATAGCGCCTTAGAGTCTGCGAGACGACTCAAAGCGTTTCATAGAATACACTGTAAAGTGAATTAACTATATTTTGTGGGCAAAACATGGCAGCCAATTGTGCAAAGCACTGTCCCACAAATAGTTGTGGATTGAGTGACTCAATTTTCTTTTTGAAGGGATTATTACCTCCCGAAAAGCGATCCTCCAATCGACTTAACAACTGGGTTCCTACTTATTCCTAGGTAAACAGAGGCGGGTGGAGGAAGGAAACTTGCCTAACATTTCGCCCGCACCAGGAATTGAACCCAGGTCCTCTTGCTTGCGAGGTGAGTGCTCTAGCGACTAAGCTACAGAACTCCACTGCCATACATCTTCACGAACACCAACTCTATGAACCATATCATTGAGGGTGCCATTCTATAAAAATACCACGTATATAACTGTGCTTGCCAACTAAAATTATTTCAAATTTAAGTACTTCAAGTCTCATGCAAAATACTTAATTTTACGCTGAGAATTTTGTCTAATACAAATGTAATTTTGTTGTATGTTGATTAGACCTGGAGCCAATTTATTTACATTACCCAGTTCATTTAATTCCACCCCAGCCCCTCCCCAACTTCTTGGCTTCATGGTCCTATAATCGATTGTGTTCTGAATTAATTCTTCAGAGAATGTTCAAAAACTTGCATCAGTAGAAGTTTTCAAAACTGTATTATACATTGTTCGTATCTATTTGGGTAATTTATGGATTTGTCCAGCACTGGCATGTGAAATGAACACAGGGAAGCCAGGCAATTGGCCCACATCACTATCCAGATAAAATCTCCACTGAGAGCCTAACAAAGTTTGTCCATTTCAACACGAACACCACTACTCAACTTAGTCAGTCTGACAACCTCACCCGTGAGTCAGAAAGCTGTGGATTCAAGCCCCATATCACGGACTCATACAGTCTAGGCAGACACTCCAATGCAGTGCTGCATTGTTGGAAGTGCCGTCCTTCGGACGATAGGTTAAACCAAGGCAGCGTCTGCCTGTTCATGGCGGATGTTAAAAGATTCCATGGTACCATTCGGAAAGAGAAGGGAGTTTTTCCTAGTGTCTTGCCAACAATCCCCCCTAAATAATAAAATTGGTTCATTGACTTCATAGCTATTTGTGGGGCATTGCTGTGGGTAAATTAGCTCACAAATCAGTCATTGCACTTTACACTATATTCTGCGAAGCTCTTTGGAAGTCAACAACAACAACAAGATTACATTTGTATAGCACCTTTCACGTTGGGAGGACGTCCCAAGGCGCTGATGTGCTCCTGAATTTAAATTTGATTATTTTCATGATAGTTGCTTGTACCCCTCCCCAAAAAAATCAAAATGGCCCATTCTATAGACACTCGCCTCACATAACCAATTCCAATATTTATCAGGTAGAATGGAATTGAGAACAGTGAAATTAGTTTTACATACCTAAAAAATATTAAATATATTTGTTCCTATATATATATATATATATAAATAAAACCATAGGTAGACATTGAATGCATAAGTGTGACATGGCTCCCTTAAATGTTTCTGATTTCATACTACAATGTTCCTGGACATGCACATAGAATGGGGTACATTCAGAACACATAAGAGACTATCCTAAATAATTGGAAATAATTTCATGTGGAGCTTGATAAGTGAGCAGCTGTTCAGCAGACAGCTGCTCACTCGCTGTAACTTGGGTTTAAAAAAATTTATATAGATCCTTTCATGTCGGGAAGACGTCTCAAAAGGCGCTTGACACTGCTGCCTGGGCACCCAAGCTGCGGGTGGGAGCCAAACTGGGGGTGGGGAGGAGAAAGATTACTGAAAGCGCGGTTAGAGGGTTTAAAGAACTGTTAGAATGTTTAAGACAAAAAAAGGTAGGCCCAGACCTCACCACACATAACTGTATATTTAATGCTCAGACTCAAAAGGAGCTAAAAGCATCTGGTTGCACTTTCTAAATTATATTGAAAATGCAAAAGACCTCTACAATATAGATCCAGCAATGAGCCTGAATGCATGGACAAATCAGGAACAAAAGATACAAACGCACTAAGTGAAGCTTTACATTGGTTCCCTCAACTGGAGAAGCATTTCGCTTTTATTGATGTTTCCACTTTTTTGTTGCAGAACTCAATGACTAAATGTCTTTCAATGAAGTGAAGATAACATGGCCGTTTACACACTGATTTAATATAAAAACTTACAGGTATACAAAGCTAATCAAATAAGCACCTAAAAAAAAAGGCAAACATACAGAAGTGGCTTTGCGTCCTCAGAATCATCGTCCTCCACTTCCAGAAGCCATCCATACCCTCTTTTCCTCAAGAATGCAGTTGCTGAAGAATCCTTTACCAATTCAGGATCCATATTGAGTTTAACCTCTGGTGAGTCTATAGAGCCACTGAGATCTGCAAGAAAATTAAAGATGAGCAAAGTATTTCAAAACTGCAAAACATTAATACTATTGCCTACTCAACCACTAGATTAAACCAAGACGTGAATTATGAAAGAAACATGTAATACGTTCACATAAACTGATTTGCAAACTTTGCCTGGAGAGAGCAGTTTGAGTGACAGTACAGTTACAAGTTTGTCACCAGTGGAAGCAATTTAAGGTAATGCAATAAGCATACCAACTAAACCTATTACAGTAGTAATACCTAACCGCCCTAACCATCGGTGGCCGGCCCTTCAGCCTCTCAGCCCCGAGGCTCTGGAACTCCATCCCCCAGTGCCTTCACCTTGCTTCCTCCCTTTCCTCCTTCAAGTCCGGTCTCAAGACCTTTCGCTTTGACCGTGCCTTCAGCTCCCCTCTCGACTCTCTACCCCCTCCTCGCTCCTTCCCTCCCCTCACCCTGACATGCTCGGGTCCTGACCAAACTGTCCAGCGCCTTGGGACATCCTCCTGACGTGAAAGGCGCTCTATAAATGAAATCTTGTTGTTGTTATGCCAATTGTGCCAATTCCCAAGATGAAACTACCACCACCACAACAATTTCCACTTATATAGCATCCTCCACACAGGAATGTTTTCAGGCAGGAATTGAAAGAAGGGAGAGAAGGGGCAAGGTGCAGGGATTGAGGGAAAGTGTTCTAGAGTTCTGAGGTGTAGTGATTGAAAGTACGACCTCCAATGGTGGGCCAGAGGGTGCGAGGGACAAGCAGGAGGCCGGTGCCAGTCGAGTGGAGGCGCAGGATGGTGGATTTGGGAGTGAGGAGGTTGGAGAGGTAGGGAGGTGCCAGGGAGTGAATGGATTTGAACACAAGTGAGAGGATCTTGAAGTCGATCCGTTGGGTGATGGGGAGCCAGTGGAGCCTGGTCAGAACTGGTGAGATTTGGCTACGGAGTTTGGTCCAGGTCAATATGTGGGCAGCAGAGTTTTCAATGGGCTGGATCTTGTGAATGGTGGAGCTGAGAAGACCGGCGAGGAGTACGTTGGAGTAATCCATGCAGGATTTGGCAAACGCATGCATGAGGGTTTCAGCTGCAGTTGGGGTAAGGTATGTGGTAGAGGTGGAAGAAAGCGATCCTGGTCAGGGACCGGATGTGGGGGAGGAAGGACAGTTGGGGGGTTGAACTGGTCCTCTAGGTTGCGCACTGGTTCGGTGAGTCTGAGAGAGAGGCCAGGGAGGTTGAGGAGTTTAGATCCACAGGAGTGAAGATGTTGACAGGATCCAAGGAGTATGGTTTCCGTCTTGTCCATATTCAGCTGCAGGAAGTTTGTACTCATCCAGGCCCTGATGTCTGCCAGACAAGCTGATAGAACATTGGTGGACCTGGAGTAGGTACTGGAGGAGGCAAAGTAGATTTGTGTGTCATCTGCATACATGTGGAAGGTTACCCCATGTTTGCGGATGACATCGCCCAGAGGGAGCGTTTAGATAAGGACTTTCCTGTTTGACCATGCTTACAGCCATCTCCCTCCTCCCCCTGGCATGGAGTCAGGCTCCGCCACTGTAAACCCTGTTCAAACCTTGCCCCACCCAACAATCGAAAGGTAGATTACAGAAACAAGCGAGCGTGACTTTTCCAAACCACTTCACATCCTGGAAACAAAAACAGAAGTCGTTGGGAACACTCAGTAGGTCAGGTAGCATCTATGGAGAAAGGAAAGCGAGTCAACGTTGCGGGTCCACGACCCTCCGTCAGAACTGATGTAGTTGACTTGAAGGCCAGCCTGACTATTTTCAATATTATTAATGGTGTCCACTGTGTCAAAGATAAATCTGAATCAATTGCCAGAATTTCTCATCGAATTACAAATTAGGTTATAAATTCTAAATTCATAACCTAATTATCA